CGTTGTCGCGACGACCGGACTACGCTGTCAAGACAGCCGACATCAACAGGATTGATGTCGGCTCACCCAGCGACCATTCTTCCAGGTGAACTTCTTCGGAATGTCTTGATACAGCATAGTTCGAAGCAGCTGATCGAGTTCCTCTCAGCTCCTCCCGACAAAGCACGTCGGAAGTTGGCCCCTCGTCTACAAGCGAGTGCACACCGGTATCGTGTGCACGACGGTCTACTGCTTTACAGCGCTGTAAACGGCAATGCAGAACGCATTGTCGTGCCGAATGATCCTGACCTGCGCGGCAGGATCATATACGAATACCACGATGTCCCCACGGCGGGACACCCAGGACGTGAGAAGACATACACCCTTCTCACCCGAGACTTCTACTGGAACCACCAGTACAAGTGGGTGCGCAAGTACGTACGTACTTGCGATGTTTGCCAGCGTGTGAAGCCTGCGCCTCACTCGCAGGCTCCCCTGTAATCACTGCCGACTCCGTCGGAGTGTTGGGAGTCCGTTTTGATGGACTTCGTGTTTGGTCTTCCGCGCGATTCCAGGCGGAAGACTGGTATTGTGGTCTTTGTGGACCGCTTCAGCAAGATGGTGCATCTCGCTGCTGTCGCTGCTGAGGTGACCTCCATACAGACGGCACGTCTGTTCGTAGACATGGTGTTCAAACACCATGGCATGCCCTCCGACTTTGTGTCGGATCGAGACCCGCGCTTCACGGCACGCTTCTGGCAAGAAGTGTTCACACTTCTTGGAACACGGTTCTCTATGTCGACTGCGGATCATCCGCAGACGGACGGGCAAACCGAGCGCGTGAACCGCGTGCTCGTGGACTTGCTGAAAAGCTACGCCCAATCGTTCCACAACTGGAGAGACTACTTGCCGATGGTCGAGTTCGCCATCAACAACGCGGTCTATGCCTCGACCGGGCATCCACGCCTTTCGAGCACGCTCGGGGCGGTGGCTTCCTCCTTAAGCGGGGGAGGATCTACGGTTTCGTCCGCAGAAGACAGCTGATACGGACCTATCAGCTGCGATGACACGTGCGAGAGCAAGGCCCGCATACGACAAGGCGACGTGCCAGTGCCGGGCACTGCCACTGAAGAACCACGAGAAGGCGACACCTGCTTCGGCCAAGGACAACGTGTCTGTGCAGGGCACAGACAACGAGAAAACTCACGCACAGGCCGGGCCTGTTGCACGCACATGTGATGTATTGATGCCGGGCATCGATACTGAGAAACCTCACGCACAGGCTGGGCCTGATGCGATCACACCCCGAAGAGCCACGCACAGTCTGGGACTGATGCGACTACAAGTGGCGAGTCTGTGCAGGGCACAGACGCGGACAAGACCAATGAGCTGGACCCGGGGTTCAGCTCTCAAGCAATGGACTTTGTCCACGAACGACAAGCAGTCGTTCGCTTTGTACAAGATGCAATTGCAGCTTCTGCGGATAGGCAGAAGCTGAACGCAGACAATGTTGGCAGGGGGTAATACAAATGAATTCAAAATGGGTTCATTAGTTTTGTTATCTACGCAAAACTTGCCTACTCATGCAGTTTCTGGATTCGGAGCAAACAAGCTTGCTCCGCGCTTCATTGGACCGTTCATAGTGACAGAACGTCACGGCAGCGCATACACGTTGGAACTGCCTTCCGACATGAGACTCCACCCAACGTTCTACGTTGGGCGCATGAAGCCATACGTGCAGCCCAAGTTATCTAGTCGTGATGACTCGCCGACGACGTCGCGCGGCGCATCCTCAGCTTCTCCTCAAGCCGCTTCACCTTCTCCTGGAGAAGGCGAACTTGTTCAAACACCTGAACACGGATGTTTGAGGTGGTCTGAGCGGCTTCGGTCACGTAGGCCTTCTGCAAGTTCAGCTGTTGTCTCAGCTCAGCGCTCTCAGAAGCCTGAACACTCGCAAGAGCCTCCACGCGGGCGTGGAGCGCCTGAAGACCGTGGTCAACCTGGGTTGACCATATGATGAGCGTACAGCACCACCGACAGAAGCATAACTCTGTCCGCGGTACGACCCACCGCGAGGTGGATCGGATTGTTGACCATACCAGTTCGAAGACGAACCGAGGTCCGGTTCGTTTTCGTATTCGTTGGAGACAATCGGCTCTCCTTCGAGATACGTGGTTTCCCCGAAACGTCCTGATGACGGACGTTCCGGATATGGTGAAGGCGTACGAAGCCCATCACGGACTGGTGGCGTAACACTGCGGGGTGCAGTGTTTCGCGAGGTGTTGTGCTCAGGCACAACACTAGGATACTGACGCGTGCAAGCAAGCTTAGCGCGTAGCTCCTTAACGTTTGCAGATACACGACTATCCGTGTACCCGGTGAGGTCTCTCTCACTGATGCGGGGAGCATCAGTGGGGCAGTGCGGACAATGAACGCCCTCCGGCACTGCACTAGGAAGATTCGCGTTCATGGAACCTTCGTAAACGCGCTGGACGACAGAGGTAATGGAATACCTCATGAAGCGCTCAAGAGCGGAAGAAATCCGCTCGCGATAACCTGCCGGATCTTTGTTGAAGTTCGCAACAAAGTGGTTCCAACTTTGACAGAGTGTCTGCCACTCGGGCACTCTGCTTCGCCCCGAAGTCTTCTTCGAGCTCCAATACCGGAGCTCGTGAAAGAGCGAGATGTAGTAATCCCGCCTCTGGTTCGTCGTCGGCTCGAAATGCTTCAAGGCGGCTTCAGCGTCGTCGACTATTCGAGTGTCGACGTACAACGGTATCTCGTTCGGAGGTACCATAGCCCAATAACGGTCATCGATGGCCTTCTTGGACGGCATCCAAGGTTCGCGCACTGTGTTGTCAGTGCGCGTGGCATCACGCTCCGAGGTGATGGCAAGTGCTTCCAGTCTGGAAGGCACTGCATCACTAGCACTTCGCGGACGCTTCGACGAAGAAGCGTCCGAATCGTCTTCACGGGACGGCGAGTCCCAGCCGTAGGCTTGGAATCATGTGACAGGGAAGACGAGGTGCCCTCGACTTCAAGTTCCCCATCTTCGTAGTCGACGGGGATACCGCCGTCGGGCGAGAGGACCGACGAACCATCAAAGACAATCCTAGGACTGTCTGGCTTAGCGGCTCCAGCGTGCTGCTTCGCCTCGAGCTCGAGCTTCTTCTCTTGAAGCTCGAAGTACTTGTCGACAGAGAAGTTCTTCTCTGTCGACTCACTCAGATGTGTCGGCGTTACCCCCGACACGTGTGCGGAAGCAGGCACCGACGCGGAGGTTGGTGCAGACGCGGAGTCAATCACAAGCCTCGACACTGAGGTTGACGCGGACACTGGCGAAGACACTGGTGTTCGCGGTGATGCGCTCATTTCGAAATGTGCGCAGAATTCTCTCGGAGGTTTGACGGACTCGTCAACGCTTGGATTGACGTGTTGTGACCGGCACGTCAAATCTTAACGGGGTGGTGGTGTAACGGGGTTACACGGAACTCTAACCGTAACGTTAACCGGTTAGAGTTAGAGGTTTCCTGTCTTGGTGTGTGAACACATCAAGACTGCATTTGAAGGGACCCTATTGGTAGAGTGCGCCACACCTCTACCAATCAGTGATGCAGATCACTGTCAGCCACTCGCTGACAGTCCCTTAGATATTTGATAATCAGTTTAGGAAGGAAACACTATAAACAACAATAACAGTTCTCATTTTACGCTATCTTATTCCTATTTTCTCTTACTATACACACGCATCGTGTGTACACTATAGAACCTAGGAAAACCTACGCTTCCTCCTACACGTGCGCACACGTGTAAGCTAACTAGTGATCCCTAGCGCCACTACACCTGATAGCACTTTGTAGTCCGTTCAACGACCGACTACCTTGTTCGTAGGAGTTACGAAGACGGGCACGAGAACCTTTCGATGGACGGGATGTCTGTCGGAATCCCCAACACAGCTGCGACGCATGTGGTGCGTGCAGACTACCCCTATCTGGCGGATACAGAGTGGGAGGCGCGATCGCCGTCTTAAGTCTTAGTCCTGTCGCACCTTTGCTCTCCGGAGCCGCGACCCTGAGGCGCCCATGTTTGCCCGCCAGCGGCATGGGAAGTCTCATACCCAACCGGGGCACTGAGGTAGATCCATGTGGCGAGAAGAGCCGGGTTTGCCTGGCCGCCTGCCTCATCCCGGTCAGTGGTCGTGTATGGGACCGGCACGTAGGATTGGAGTTGTCTCCAGTCCGGTGCTTTTGTGTCCGCGGCAGGCCGCGTACGGACAGCCACGGGGCAGGGAGAGATCCTGCCGAGTCATCGGGGACGGTGACTTGAGGGCTTATGGCATACCATTTATTTAGTTGCAATCTGAGACCTCCCTCGGGGTTTCTCCGGGGAAAGGAAATCTTTTTTGTTGCGGCATCTGGAACCGCCGACCGTGCGTTCATCAACACAGGAGAGAAGCAAGATGTAGTATGTTCTTTAGAAAGTTAGAGCTTTGACTAATGCATGTTTGTGTTTGTTAAGTTTGACAGGAAATATGGGAAGAAAGCGCAAGTTCACAAGCGAAGAACAAATGAGGGAAGAACATGCTGCGCCACCAAGAGAAGAAGATCCGGTTGCAAGACGAAAGAGGTTGAAAAAGATTAGCACCGCTTTAATCCACTTGAGAAAGTGGCAGGCCGAGACAAGTGTGCAACCGAATGAGGACTCAGTTCCGGCGGTAACCGACGCAATGCAAGCTATTGCTATCGCGCCACAATCAAATGAGGAAGCTGCAACGGATCCTGTTGTTGCAGCCGAAACCTCAATTCCATCCAGCTCTACGTTCGCAATTGGTGAGACGCACGCAGAAAGTGAGAATAGAGCTGATCCACACCGAAGACCTCTGGTGAAGCGTTCGAGAGCAGACATGACGCCGTCACAATTAGCTCGCGTTCGTGAGGCAGACAAAAAGAGGAAACGTCTTCAAAGAGCTAACCACTCCGAGTCTCAAGTTGATTGAGATCGGCAACAAGACAGAGATCGACCTAGGGCTCGGAGAGAGGTGATGAATCCTGGTGGAAGGATTACGGGAAACAAATCAAACTTCCCAGCTCAACCGAAG